CCCATAAATATTCAATAAAGGGGCATTCTCAAAATGAGCGGGATAATGTACATAGTATTATTGAGAAACAAATTATGAAATATCTCAAATCTGGGCCGATTTACGTGCCGGATCAGTATGAAACACTAACTCGAACAGCAAAAAAAAGTGGTTCCCCTTACAGAGTTCACCAGCTTACCTTTGAAAATTTCCACGATTTAAAAGTGTTACAAGAACAGTGGCGAAAAAACTTTACGACAGATACTGAAAAAGGAAGTGTGTAAGGAATATCCGGATTCATTCTTCTATAAAACGTCCTATAAACAGGAGGAATTCAAAAAAGTCGATATGAATAATGTGAAAAACACTAGATCCCAAGAGCATAATACAGACTCGGTTAACTTAGTTCAAGCTTACTCTCACAAGTTTCCATTGAGTGACTTAAAAAACAGCACTTACAGGAACTAGCTGATAAGGGAACAATTAAAAAAATATTACGACTCTGTTTATAAAAATGTACTTAGGATTTAATTCAGTTCAAACCTTGTGAAGGAGTTTTTTAGCTATCAAGACTGAAAATTATTTTAATTTAAATGCACGCCTCTTATTGTTCCTTATTATGAGTTTCTGTATGTTGTGTTTTTTCACTTGTTTAGTATTTAGGGCCAAATCAATGTGTTTTTGATGTTTTGTGTAAGAAAATAAAAATATTTCTATAGTATAATGCTGGCGATTTATTTTCAGGTAAAAACTATGAGTAAATCTTATACTTCTTTCTTATTATTTTTAATAATATCGAACAATAAAAGTGTCACAAGTCTTTTGTTCCTTTTCAGTTCTCAACTAAACTGTCGGTTTTGGATATAATTCCAGGATTTTTGTTCAAATCAATCATCAAAAGTGATATAACTTGAAAAAGGCTTTTCGTTAAAGCATACCTGCCTTGAATAGAGAATATAGTATAGCATAAGTATTTTTATGACTTATACTATTTATCCGAATGAATGTACTTTTACAAAAAATATTTAGAGTGTAGAAACAGTTTTCTTCGGTTTGCCAAAAACTTAGTTTTTAGAGTTGTGTCACTTTTGTAGCAAGGGTGCGAAATTAGTTATTGGAAGAATTTCCGGAAATGAAGATTTTTAGAATGGTTAGTCTAGATATAGTGAAAACAATTACTATGAAACATTGTATTGTAAAAGAATTTAACCAGCATTTTATTTAATATATTTGACAAGTGGATCTTCTCTGTTGACTGGTGATTTGTAATTATTTAGAAAAGGGGCAACACCCTCCAATACTCCCCTACTGAGCGAGGCAGTGGCAAATGCTTGTACCGGAAGTTGTTGAATTCAGTATATAACTTCTGTCCGTCCAAGTGATTGAACACGCGTTAAGGAATACCTCAGTACCTATACGACCGCTCCTAAGTCTCGATGGTGTCAAGATTGTGGAACAATTTACAAGAGGAAGCTTTTCGCAGTTATACTAATCTTAGGCAGTTCAAAAATCGGATTAGCTAAATGGCTTTGTGATCCTCATAGTAGCCGCCGTGCCTGTGTGTATGGTTTGGCATTAAAATGCATCATGTATCTGAGAAGATTGATCAAGCAGCTGGCAAGATAAAAGAAATTATGAAGAAAACTATAAAACAGTTCACATACAAATACATATTTATGGCTGATTGAAAATAGAAAAACAACAGCATTAATAGAATACATTTTATTTATTCTATAGAATTTCCCATAAGACTTCCTAATATATAATAAAGTCATATCTGGGTATATATGTATGTGGAAATATCAAAAAATATAAATTACTTCTATAGAGTTTCCCATAATCTTAGTATGTATTCAAAAAAACGTGTATAACACTTTTTTTATTGTTCAACTATTTTGTTCACAGCAAATGAAAACATATTTTCAAAATTACAAATTCTACAAAATAAAGCTATGGGAATCATTTTAAATAAAAACTAATATGCTAGGATTAAGTCTATGTTAGCAGAAATACAGTGGTTAAATGTAAAAAATTTCATATGCTATTTAGTTCTCATTTTCATATTAAAATTGAACAACCATTTATTACCACTACATTTGAAAAACTTCAAAAAATTAAATAGTTATTATCATAACTATGAAAACAGAGGCAGTATAGGTTTTTATCTGCAAAACTGTAATAGTAACATAACTAGCAAATCTGTATTTCAAAAGTATTTGACTTCAATAAATTGAATAATGATATTAAACTTCTTCGAATTTAAATATGTTCAAGGTGAAATTAAAAAAAACAATTTATGAATACTCAAAATGCATAGTGATGTAATTTTAATAGACAAGAATGAGAAATTACAGAAAATGGATTCAAAAAAATGTGTAAACGGATAGTTATACAAAATTGATATTGTAGCATTAATGCTAAAATCTTCAACAAACAAATAAAAATCATATTGTGGTTATAAAAAAATTTTGCATGGTGTAATTATTTAATTTTTTACATAAATTTATGGATACCAAATTATTTTTTGTGGGTGTTAGAAAGTGAGGTGTAGGCTAGGAAATAGGTATTTTTTTTCTACAATTTGATGACAATAATGATACGTTCAAATTGGTGTCATGATAGCGCTGGAGCATTTTCTAGCATTTTAAAAAACGCGTTTGTAGGGAATTGAATTCATCACTTTCCTTTTATAAAACAGTAAATATGTTACAAGAAAATTAAGGGTAAAGTTAAATTTAATGACATTTTCGCTTATAATGGCTAAACTAACAAGTGTTTAAAAGATTCTTATTCATTTATGTAGAAAATAAAATGATTCTTCAAGCGTATGGAGCGAAAGTCAAAAATCTATACGAAATTGTCGCGCGGCAAACTCGGCACTGTACGTACGTTGCGCACGTGTCAGTATACATCTAATATTTTCGGATACTTCATGATGTAAATGCAAGTCGCTCACTTCCACCAGTCTGTTTATTGGCCATTTTGTCACTGGGTACACTCAGCAACCGTTGCAACGATTTTAATGGAAAGGGAGTGATGCAATAAACTAGTATTATCTACTACATCTCTTCTTCCATTAGAATCGGTGAAATTACTCAGTGACAAAATCGCCAATAGACAGACTGATAGAAGTGAGTGACTTGATCTTCATAATGAAAAAAAAATCACAAATTATCAAAAAATCTTAATTTTCCATGCTTTTACGTGGTAGTATTTTAATGATGGGTAATGATGACGGGTAATGATTATGCAGTTATTTTCACGCGAAATAATGTTGTATGTCGATTAAGAGGACCACGTACATATGCAGCGTCAGAACTATGTCGGGCGACTGCTTCGATACGAATTTTTTATACTTTGAGAACCAACAAAATGTCCAAAAAACGTAAAACATCTTTTTTGTACCAACTTTTATTTTCTACAAAACGTAGTAGTGTTTTATACTCTTAGGTTCTTAGTTTAGTCATTATAACCGGAGTATCCAACGAAGGAGGAGTGGGACGCCGGTAGCCGGAGACTCTCCGGAGTGAGCGGGCAGGTCTGGTACACGGACGGATCGGTCACCGAAGAGGGCTCAGGTGCTGGGGTCTCTGGGCCTAGAACTAGGCTATCTCTGCCTCTCGGTGGATACACCAATATTTTCCAGGCGGAAATGTGTGTATCTTGCATTCTGGAGGAGGGTGGGCCTAGGATAAGAATAACAATCTTGTCCGACAGCCAGGCTGCAATGAAGGCACTAAGTGTCTGTAAGATTACTCTTGTATTGCAATGCAGGGAGGCTCTGGACTGCCTCGCAGCGAGGCATCCGGTATCGTTAATGTGGGTACCGGAGCACGCTGGCATAACGGGCAATGAGATGGCGGACGCTCTGGCGAAGACAGGATCAGCCAGCAAGCTCGTTGGTCCTCAGCCACCTTTAGGAGTGACCGCGCATAGAGCTAGGAGGAAAATGGAGACGTTGATTGCAATACAACACTCTCAGAAATGCAGAAGTATCTCCAGACACCTACGCCAGGCACGGGAACTCATTGAAGGGCCCAGTGCTAAGGATGGACGTTTTTGCTTATCTCTGGATAGAGCTAACCGAAGGTTGCTGGTGGAACTGTTGTCTGGTCATAAGGCGCCACCTGCAGGTAATGGGGATGGCTGAGGATTCCTTGTGTGAGCGCTGCGGGGTAGAGGAAGAGACGTCGGCGCATGTTTTGTGTCGCTGTGAAGCTCTGAGCTACTATAGGCAGACTATACTGGGGTCCATTACTTTGGACCCTCAGGACGTCAAGGAGCTTGGACTCAAGGCGATTCTCAACTTCGCTAAAAGGGCGAGGCTTGTGATCTAAGGAATGTAGAGGTGCATAAGGGCCCGTTTAAGTGGCCTATGCACTTGCTACTTATGGTGGCCGGAATGCCTCTAATTTCACGATTCATTCATAACCGAAAATATCATTACCTTTACCCTTAATTTTCTTGTAACCTGTTGACCTGTACGACAAGTTTTTATAAAAGCAAAATGATGGACAATTTAATTACCCCCAAAATCGTTTCTATATTACCTTTTTACATAGGATCGATTGCCTTCGATATTTTCAATTAAACGCGTTTATCAAAATGACGGCAAATACTCCAGCCCTGTCATGATGCCAATTTCAACTTATCATTAGGAAGCAATAGTGTAACGATATCACCAAAAAGTTACCATCGCCTAAATTGTAAAATTTCCTTATACATAATCTCTCTATTTATTGGCATAGACTGTCAAAACATTAACAACTTCATGTTCCCCAAAACAGAAAATGACTTTCCTGGAAAAACGTTTAGCAAATGTGATAACTAGATCATACACGATACCATGTCATCGACTAAACATTTTTCAATTTTGTAGACATGGTTTTTGAGCATTGCTTCTGTGGAAATAATCTTATGTGAATGAATTGTGTATATAGTTAGAAGTAAGCAAGAGGAAAACGTAAAAAAATTATCTGTATCGCTAGAATCCGCGAATAATGTTTTGGACTAACTTAGTGGCACATACATTCTCGTACAGTTATCGTAGCGTGCTTCTGATGAGGTACCTCATACCAAACTCATTGCGAAGTGTTGCTAATGTTGGTAGAGGATAAAGTAAAGAGGTCCCTCTTCTTCCCATCATACCCCTAGGATGTTCATTTGACGAATGGTGCCAAGAGATGATGATGATTTGGCTGTAATTGAGGTACCATACTGTAGCTCTACTCTATAATTACTCCTAGAGTGGCAATGATCTATTCCATATAACTTCCTGGCAGTTGAAGTCGACTGCAACTCTTTGCATACAGTGCCGTATGCTCCGCTGTTCGATTTTTGTCCGCCGGCGCGCATGACGTCACGCGGAGAGTGATTATCATTTGGGTTGATATGGATAACGTGCATATTTTCACCTACAGGTCAAACGGCTGGACGGATTTTCACATATGAGGTGTGGTTGGATTCGTCTTAGCGGTTCGAGTGACACTAGCTACATTGAAATTTTATAAAAAACAAAATGGTGGATTTTAATAAAAGATTTCAACCTTGTAATTCCTGCTTCATAGGCTACAGATGAAACGGCTTGATAGATTTTCACATATGAGGTGTCGTTGGATTCGTCTTAACGGTGCGAGTGACACTGGCTACATTAAAATTTTATAAAAAACAAAATGGTGGATTTTAATAAAAGATTTCAACCCTGTAATTCCTATTTCACAGGCTATAGCTTAAACGGCTTCTAGCTCCACAATAGAGCGTATCGTCTCTTCACTGTAAAAACAAGATAACTCCATTTTTCTAAACTACCTCTATTTTAGTATGTTCTGTGGAGCAGGATTAACATGTTCATGTCATAATACTGTACTACATTTATCCTTATTCCACAGAACATCCTAAGTACATGTAAGTGTGAAAATTTACGCAACTCAAAAAGTAGAAAAATGGAGTCATCTTCTTTTTGAAGTAAGGTGGTGGTATAACAATAAATGGAAATGACTTAGTCTGAGCAACAATTTTTTTCCATTTCCTTTCACGATTTTTCTGGTCTTTCAAACTTTTATTCAGTTCTTTGATCCGGAAGAACATCCTTGACCTGAAAAACAGTTTTTTAGCTTTTTCAGGGCAGTCAATGTTGCTGCTCTTCAACAGAAGTTCACCTATAAAATTTTGCTTTTTTGTCACTATTCCGTCCCCATTGAATGTAGTGAATACCTTGTTCAGCTTCTCAATTTGATTCATGAAAGTTGCGGAAGGTTTTGATAATCCACCCTCACTACGATGGTCTATCCATGAATAAGTTTCATTTGAGGAACTTTTCAACCTCTCATCCTGCAATTTATTGCAAACAAAGCCGGCCAAATTTTCCAGCCCGTCATACTCGAGCTCAGCTATTTCTTCCACTAAAACTTGCTCGGTATAGTCAGCTGATACTTCAGGTGTATTCAGTTTATTCTCGTTAATGATGCGGTTAGTGGTTAGTGGACTGTCTGGAGTATCCTCTGACTCTACGCTGCAATAGGTACTCTGAGTATGCGCCTTCTTTTTGCCCCAACATATATGACCTTATTCTATACTTAAACTCTAGAGGACTTGTATGGTCATGAAGACCATATATTGCCCTAATTACTCCGAAAAAGTTTTCTATCACATCTTGATTAAGACGTCTTGTTAACAGGTATTGGACGCTGAAGCGTCGTTTCAGATCCCCTAGAGCATTTTCTAGCAAACCCTAGCGCTTTTTACATTGACTTTATCTTATCTTTTTGTGAGATGTAGCCATTTTTTTTTGCTAAAGTTTGGGCTTGAGGAAAACTGTGGAACTTCACGTCTTTGGTAAGATTCCGTTTAGATTGATTGTCGGAATTACATCCCACAACAGCACACCGCATTTTTATCAATTTATCAACCACACAGGGTATATAAGGTATGTATAACTAATACAACAAGTCACAACACCACCAAAAAACACCAACAAATGGCACTGTATAGTAAATATAGTAAATGTTGCAGACAATTTGCCGAAAATACCCGAATGATTACTGGGGTCTTAAAACAGTATCTGATTGAGAAAAATACAGAGCTGAGGGCCTGCAGCAATAAATACATATTAGCCATAAAGAAATATTCATTGGACGAGGATTAAGAACACTCATAGGGAGTCATTTTCCACCCAAACTAAATAATTCAAAAGGTTAAAACCTATCCCAAAATATTTCTTCCAATCAAATCACTTATAGATTATTGTATATTATATGGTATTGAGGTAATTATTGAGCTAAAACGCATATAGTGAGCAGATAAAAAATATAAATTACAGTTCATTTTCACCCTGAAATTTTCTGAATCGAGAATTCGAGTATCTTTGCTAAACTGTTAGCTATACATGTATTTTGTCATCCAAGTTCACACCAGTTTGACTTCCCACGAATTAGTAAAAATCTCACACAAACGTAAAGAATTTAACAAATTTTTAAAAACGTTTATAAATATTCCCAAAATAGGTTTGCATTTAAGAAACAATGACAAATTTGTGTTGCAGACAATACTGGTCGTCTCACAAGAAACAAGAAAGTTTGAAAAAAGAATGCATTCAATTTCCAAGTGTTTGAGCACACTAATAATGTTTGATCCCTTTTGAAAGACTGTTTCGAGCAAGCTCAACAATTGTCAGAAAATATTGAAGCTTAACGGGGCTCCTACAATCACGAGCACCATCTGCTGAGGTAACGGGGGGGTGAAAAGGAAACGATGATGGGCTGGTCTAAGACGGCCGTCGGCGCTACTTTAAAAGAGGAAAGGATGACTTCGGGTGCGTACCGAGGTAAATTTTTATAATAACAGAGTTGGATTTCGATTAGCGATCGAGCCTGTAAATCGTTTCCTATTTTGGTACTGTTCGTCGATATTGTGTTGTTGAATTGTTGTGCTGTAGATCCTCTTGTTGGTGTGATTGTTCTTGAGTGATTTTTTTTATCAAGGTTGATAATGGACAATAAAAGGTCATATGCGACAATTTTAATTACGAATGCAGTGAGTTTAATTCATGATAAGGACAACAATAGTGTGGAGCAGTTCAACTCTATAATCGCAAAATACATTGGGGTAGGCGAATAAATTATTGCAAGAAGAGGTCATACCATAGAAGATGTGCTGCAGCTATAGTGAGCCACAATACCGAGCGACCTGTCTATGTGGTCCAAATACATTTGCGTTCTAAGCTTAGTCCAGCCTCGCTTATCACTAAGATGGAACAAAGACTCAAACGCAAGAATCTTGAAAACAAACTCAGATCAAAAAAAGCTGATATAAAAATAACTAACAATTCGGATAGCAATTCCAAAGAAAATGAATAGTTTTATGGCGAATTCAGTCAAAAACCTGACATTAACAACATTGATTTGGAGGTTGCTAAGTGAACATTTTTAGGGAAACTTAAAAAAAGTGACGACGAGATTTTGCAGATCGAACAAGTCACCAAATCACAGGACTGTACTTTGTGGCGTCTTCGAAGGAGGATAAGGATGACAGCGTCTCGATTTGGCGAAGTTTGTATAAGAAGGCAGACAACAAGCTGTAAAGTTCTAGTAAACTCCATCATATACCCAACTGAGTTTTCTAGTAAGGCAATAAATAAAGGCCATACAAAAGTCATTGGACACGGCAGTTCAATCTTGTGGTTTGTTTACTGATCGCACACATCCATTTCTGGCAGCATCACCTCCATCTACCTATTACAGTAGACAAGACATGTACTTAATCCAGGTATAAGCCCTCCTGTTTATTGCTTTGCAAAAACTACCTAACTGGTTCCTCTTATTTTGACTGCATAAGATATTTTTATGACCCTCGTTCAATTGCTACCATCTACCACATGACCCTTGTAGACATAATTCTGTTTATTGACATGAATAACCGAATTTGAATTTGAGTTCTTGAATTTATTTTAGGAAAGATATAAAATTATTGGAATACATTTTTTCTTAGTCGGAACGCACCGTGGACTGGCAGGACGAAACAGTAGATGAATTTCGCCCAAAAACCGATTTGCACTTCACAGCTTACGTTTCATTTTTATTATTTCCAAATGAAGCTCTTGCAGGGTGCTAAACACAAAGTCCACAGGGTGCCAGCGATCCACTTTTTCGATTTTATCCACTAGTATCTTTTTAAAATATCAAGAAGTTGAGCACAAATAGTAGATAAGCATTTCAACCCACCATAATTCTTGCGCAAATACAAAATTTTGTAAAAAGCTCTGATAGCACCCTAGGCAATTATGTCCTGCTTATATCCAGAAAAACATCACAAACTGCAGAACACAAATTGAAGGTAACGGCGAAATGGGTACATTTCACGGGTCATGAAATTCAAATGAAAATGCAGGTATAAAATCTACCAAATTATCATTCTCAAGAACATATTTCCTAGACATATCGATAATTTTAAAGTTCCACGCTAAATTCCCCTATACTTGATGAGTGATATCCGAATTTATTCTTCCCTACTGTCGGTAGTTGCAGATCTGTTGGCTCTTGGTGTCAAACCTATAGAGCAGATACCGATATTTTCAAATCGTGAGCACATTATTCGTCGGATTTTCGTTACATAAATTTCCTGTAATCACTGGGATCAGAAGCTTCTTAATAATAGAACGTGTTTCACTGATTTCAACCCCCCCTTTTTAAACAGTACAATTTTTTTATGTCAATGATTAGGAACCCCTGAAACGTCAAAAACGGAGTTTCAGCAATTGTTACTTTTCTTTTTGCCTATAGCACCGTTGGCACTGGACTAAAACTACAAAGCTTTGGCATACTAGTAACCGCGTGTGGAAATTTCATAAAAATCCGAGCGGTAATTTCCAAGTTGATGATGAGTGATACAGTTTTTCGTGATGTAGATGTCGTATAACATCTCATTTTAGAAATTTTTCGCGATTACAACACTTCCTCGTCAATGACGTGGTAAGTAAAACGGCTTTAAAATCGAGGAGTATCAGCGATCGCGATTATGAGTACCTATTTGCAGAACGACTTATATACGCGACACTATATGAAATAGGGCCACCAAATTATCTGAATACGTCCTTTCTTAGTCCGTACATTGCGCCGCAACGCTTGGTTTGGCAGCACGAAACAGTAGACAAAATTCGTCCAGAATACGATTTGTAGAGGTTTGCGCGCTTCAAAATTGACGCTTTATTTTTTGATATTTATGGATGAAATTTTCACAGAGTGCTGAAAACAAAACCCCACAGGGTGCTATAGAACCACTTTTTCATTTTTTTCACTAGGTTCTTTTTAAAAAGTTGAACAGAAAAAGTGCGCACTTCAACCCATCATAAAACTTGTGCAAAAACAAAATTTCAAAAAGTGCTCCTATAGCACCCTGGGCAATTATCTTCTCAACATACTGTATGAATTACATTAAAAAATATTGAAAAATGGAGTGTCAGTTTTGAAGCAGCTGAACCCTTGTAAATGGCTTGAAACTCAGTGCGTCGGAGCCGCCTTAAAGGGGTTCTGATGATGGTTTTTGCCAATAATAATTATTCAAAATTTAGTTGTATAATCAATATGTTGCCCAAATGTTCAAATATTTGAATAATACAGTATAAAAATTTGTAAATACTGGAACACAGATGTTTTTGATTTTGACGACTAATTATTCATTCATTCCATATTATCTATTTGCTTACTTGCTTCAAAATACTGCTCAGCATGTTCAACTTGACTCTACTGACTGCTGTGTTTGCGGCCAAAAAGAGGATGAAGGTTCAAATGAAACCAAACATCTTTAAAAATCACAGAACAAACTGCATGAAAATTATAATTATGAAGAAAGTATGGTTAAAACTAATTATTATTACTGGGCCTTCCAAATGGTTAATTATAATTATATTCTACATGCCTCAGGCTTGGTTAGTAATTGGTTACTTCTCAACTTAAGCACATAATGACATTGTAATTGTTAAGAGATGGAAAATGTAAAACTTACCAACCCTTTGCTTGACGTAGATATATTTGTATTAACGAAAACTGACTGATGACTTCTTCAATTCACTGTTTATAGAGAGCTGTTTTCCTCTGTGAAGTGTGCATGTCTGTAACCACCAAAAAAAACCGAGCGATCTATAGATGTCAGAGCTTTCTTCCAAACCTTATCCATTCTTGTGCAAAAATGTAAAGTAATTTCTTAGAGTTTGGAAATCCATTTCATACACTTTCCTGACAACCTTTGACTACATATCTGCAGTACTATCAAATATTTTGAATGGGTGACACTAAGTTAACAAATGTCTCTAATCTATATTTAGAACAACTCATGTAAGACAGCAACTTGAGTTCAACAAATGCTAATTTGAGTAACATACAAAAGATGAATAAGTTCAATACTGCAGATGAGAATTAACTTCAAGTGGAATCTTATATTTTATACTTACATACTGCCACATATTGCAATTATATTCACTGTACACTGTCGAATTACAAGTCATACACATGCTAACTGTAGAGTTACACACCTCTACGCACTCCTTCAGAAAGAACAACACAACTAACTAATCTGGCACAGCTAATAGATATATCAAATATCACTTTTTTATACACATGCAGACCAATACAATCATCCAGATGCGGTCTTGCTACTCAACCAAACTTTCGTTCTTCACATTTTAAACCTACACATTGAGGTCTATGAACTAAGTGGCTCTCTGCAACCAATAATACATATTTGGGAAGAGAAAAGTATCTCGTATCGTTCAGTTATTCCTCCATAGATGGACGTTTTGGATCGCGCTTACAACGACCCAAGTGAGCAAACGTGGAATGACTGTTTGCACCCTAAAAACTACCTACATACATACATACCTGTAGTATGCAAGTTGACATCTTATAGGTCTTTTTTTGACATTTTGTAGGATTTTTTAGTGCCTTTTCACACACACACGAATCAAATTCAAGCGGATAACCAAATGGAAATGGTATTTACCATTTTGGGTTGGTATTTACCATTCCGTTCAAGCGAGTGTAGTTATCAGTTTGGTTATAAGATCCGTGACGTCACGAATCAGCTGTTATATGTCATAGTTATCACCGCGAAATTGTGGTATTTACCCAACTCAAGAGTAGTTTTATATTTCTGGTTATTATTTGAAATGTGACAAGTTAGAATTTTGCCGGGTATTGGATATTGTTATTGTACTTCAGCTTCATTTTTGAGAAAAATGATACAGGCTGACTTCAGTTTTACCATAAAGTGGAGCACCTTATTAGTTATACTCATTACGGTTGTTGGGGACACTTTAAATGTAGTTCCTATGCTTAACAAAGTATCCTGTGTAGCCATATACCACAAGAATATTAAAATATGGCCATATAAACTCACTAGATGATATCCACCTGTATACGGTTTTGCTAATTTCTTTTTTCATCATTTCTGCTGAATCAATAAATGTTTTAGAGAATTGAAAGCTATCATAGCTACAAAGCCATGGTTCCATCATTAAAAAAAAATCTGAAAAAACATTTCTCCCATGAATATTATGAAAAGTTTCTTATTTAAACTTTCCATATACAGTTGTAGACGAAAAAGCGCCGATTATTAAGTGATAATAAAAATAATCAGAGATTATAACGTACGCGCTTTTCTAAAATAAACAACTCGCAGCAAAACCGCGGTTAAAACCAACGTGTTCAAGCGATTCGTGTAACTGACGTCATCAACCCGTGTGTCATCTTGAACCATATTATAACCGCGGCACATAACAGAAATTTTGGTTATTCGCTTGGATTTGATTACGGTTTCCGTTTATACGGCGACCGCATACACGGATGTAAATCGCTTCACACCTACAGCGGTTTTCGTCGGCAGGCTTATTACGTAAAAATTTCCAACTCTGATCGGTGAGCAACCGACTTGCGACCGATTGTCGACCGACCGAAAAATTCGTATTCGCTAACGCAGTTGGCAACCGGTTGCCCAACTGTCATTGAATGCAATTTGAATGCAGTTTTTGCGACCGAACAGGGCCACTAGCAATCGAGTAGCAACCGGTGGAACTAAAGTGACATACATATGATAAACAATCGTCGTGTTTATAAACCGAAAAATAAATAAATACATTGCGGATCGTGATTGTGAATTTAAAATTAACTATGGGACCTAGTTTTGTTGAAAATTGAACACGTAAGTATATAATACGATGGTCTGTTCTTAAAAATGAATGTCTGTGTGAGCCGCAGATGTATGGATGTTTACATAAGTCAAGAGTGGCCCCTTGATACACACAGTACACAGTCATTTGTCGACAAATAGATGACACAGTTTCATATAGATTAGCCTTGTTAATCTTACAGATAATGAGTCTGAGGTATTGATCTTAGGATCGATGAATATTGACTTATTACTCTTGTTAATAGGAAATTTCAACTTCCACAGCGATGGAATTTTCATCAGGTAATGTAAACTTCCATGTGTTGAAACTTTTTGATGTAGCTGAACTCATTGGTTTCTCAGTTAATGATCCACAATTTAATTTTGATATGCAATCTCACTTGCTAAATATGCATGGCAATATAATTACTAGAATGTCTGGATGATTTAATGCATCCACCATTTCCCTTAGTGCTTTCGATACACTAGGTTGACTGAGCCCATGTAAATAACACATGCCAATATGTTTCTAGCAGGAACCAGCGGCTAGCACCAGAAGTGCTGCTAATACCTAAAACCAATATGTTTCTATACTGTGGTAGGAAGGTGCAAGTAAGCTTATTTGATAATCATTATGAACTTCAAATCATAGATACTGAAAAATACGTCGTAGGCGAGAAGTTTGCCGTCTTTGATCGTGCATTCTTTCGCTTTCCAATGCTTCCATAAGTAAAAATGCACGAGCCATCCAGAGAATCAAAATTGCTGAAAATACAAATTGGGAGCATACAATCACTTCTATGTCGGGTTCATGCACGACTTAAACTAACCGAACTTAAGGATCAGCTGTTTCTACACCAGTGTCCTCCACATGTTACGCCTCCAGATAGTAACTAGCTAGTGACTTCCAGTGGTGGTCAAACGTTTTGGTGACGTCACACCCATTTTTTGACATGATTCGGGTGGTTTCGGAACTCGTCTTACCCTTGGATAGCCCTTTCCATACTGTTCTATGCTCGTATTGACGTAATTATAATAATTCTGTAGTGTCCCGTGTTCCACGACGATTTACTCAGAAAGCCAGGCAGTGACTCATCTGTTGTTTTTGTTTGAGTTGTTGACGAATTTGTGGTAGAGATTTGTTTTGGTGTTCGTCTTCGGGTGTGTTTTTCTGCCTTTGACTTGTTTTTTGTGCGATTAATTGAGGATGGCCATGCCTAGAGCAAAATAACGAAAAGCCGCGGTGGTATCAACTCCTGACCTTGTTGAAGAGGTACCTGCAGAAGTCACCTGAACGCAATCGGACATCGCCAGAGGAGCGCCTAATGATGACATTGCAGTAAGTATCCAAATCAGTTCATTTTTGCATAAATGACAAAATATATTGAGGTTATGGTCGTTTTCTTAATTTCAAGGTCACTTCTTAAATTAAAGTTCAATATATTGAACTTTTCCTTAAGAACCAACCAATCGGATCACTAGCGTTGGTCAGCTGATCGCTACAGCTGAAATTAGAAGATGGCTACGAGCCATCGATACTGTACAGAAGTCGATAGTCGATATTTATATCGTGATGTTTGATCGATTTTATATCGCTGTATGGGCAGATGGTTCGGTGATACTTGTATGAAAAATTATTTGCGCTTGCTTACGCATGACAGTTTAGAGCTGAACATCGGGGCGGATTGATAAAAAAAATCATGTATGTTAAAAATTATAATAATTAAAGTCAGTGGTCATGTTTCCTTCATAAATTAGATCAAAAAACAGCATGAAAAAAATACCAAGATAGAGGATTTTGAAATTATATTCTAGAGAACGAAAAAAAAAATGGAAATGATCTTAAAATTTTGTGCTTGTAGTACTGACTTCATAGCTGATAGATGCAAACACTTTCATGTCTGAGACTGTACCAGTGGTGATGTTGGCAAATTATAGCCCCTACAGAAGAAAAAAGAGAATTTAAATCTATACCATGCCCCCCATGACATGTTTTTCCAAAACCTCACAGAACACTGTGAAGGTACTTTGTCATTAACTACAAACCAGGTGTACACCTGACGAATGCTGTGTATTCGCAGCCCACCAAATATGTAATCTCTTTTGACGTTTATTGAGGTAAACAGATTGAGTAGCACGTAACTTTTTTTGTGACATCTGTACTGTTGGTAATAACAAACCTGGTAAAGGGCCAAATTAAGGACTGGCATTTGGTATCACCAATGAAAATTTTTTTTTTAAACACAGAATTTTGGCAATCAAATGTATACTGCTAGATTGGGAATTTATACATATGTACAGAGCAGTATCATCTGAAGGGGCGTGGTGAGATGACTATGTTTCTGTTTAGTGCTTGCTGACCAAATATGACAGTGATATTATGCTAATAATTTTTTTTTTGTTTGACAGTGTCAAAATCCTTCGAGGAGACAGTTGGAATGAAGATCGTCATTTATTTTATGGATACCAAATTAATTGTCAATGAGAGTTTGTTTCCTAGTTTGAAGAAACAATTACTGTTTTATGTGTTTTTTTTTGTTGAGAACAATTTTGTTTGCCTTTACCCATTAAACAGTGTGCGCAAAACTATTTTTGATTCACATATCAGAGTGATTATATTTGTATTCCAGGCAGTCCTCTACCTACAGATGTATTTTTTTGTTATTTTAGTATTTATGTTTTCGCAATAAATATACCTGATCAATTAACAAGAGATAGTGCTTGCATGATATTGCACTGATCAGGTTCATAATATAGAGAAAAATCCAGATGAGTAGAATACCTCTATGTATGTACAATTTATTGTAATGAAGAATTTGTTCTATTATTGCTGTGACTGTTCAGTAAATATTTTTTTAATTATACATTTTTTTATTATCCTGATATTCATTACTAGTCAAACTGATGAAAGAAATACTCCCTTTATTGAGGATGTGTTATGCATCTATGATCATCGAACTGCCTCAATATCGGTCGTCAGTCAGATTTCATAATGTAAACAAATGAAATCGCCGACACATTCCTGACATTCCTGATATGCGTTGTCGGCATACTTTGAATATTTATAGTTCCACCAGATTTCCAGCCAAGAAAAGTGGCGCTGCCGTCGAGGTTATAGTCCAAGAAATATCTTCACATCTGCTCAGGAAAATATTCGGATTCGGACTTTTTGCATGTTATTCGAAAAAGCCTCCTAGTAACAAATCTACATGTTGTCAGGCTCCAAATTGCGTCTCTAATTGTTTGAACAACTTTTTCAAATAAATTACAAAAATTAATGTTTTCGCTTCATCAAAGGTAGCATTCGTTTTTTTGATACTCCGAAACAAAATGATGTTTGACAATGTTTGTCAAAAGTTGATTTTGTACGAGATGGGAAAGTACAAAAAATTGATTTTGCGATACCGAAAAACGATCTGAAAAAACGAAAATGTTAATGTCGCCATGCTTCATAAATAACCATTAACGATACCTTTTAGGAGATACTGTTATTATAAATCTTTGTATTTAGTTTATATGCAAGCGGACGCTCAATGCATATTCAGCGTGCACGAGAGATATTTCATCTCTCTCGCGTTCACATAGATATAGACTATACATTGAGCGCGCATTCAAATGCTCTGGGGGTTTTGTTATTGGTTGGTTGGAGCATGTGTGAGATTTGGCAACAACAAAATATTCATTTTTGATATTGTTTTTAGGGTAGCAAATGACATATTTTGAGTTTTTACATTGCTTATACCTGTATATATCAAGTCTAGAGAAAAGTTCTAAAGCTCATTTTTTATTTAGAATGTCCTAAAAACCGCAAAATACTTTAAACAAAGCGAACAAATCAATTTTTGGAATCGGTTTAATAACAATTTTTGGAGCAATTTTGGGCCTAGTCACATGCAGATTCTTTAAGAGGTCCTTGAATCAGATTATGCAAAAATAGGAATCGGAAGAGTTTTCCGAGCAGATGTTCCCATATTATCTGGACTATTATCCGAGTTCTTTGACCTGCATTGGCGCAAGCGTGTGGGGAGGGGCCACTTGTCAACGTCAAGGCTGGCCCGCCAGTCCACGTGACACATAAGCCACAAAACCTTAGACGAGGAAAGAGAGAGGACACGCCATGTCCGCTTTAAAAGTGTGCCCAGTCAGACTCCAGGCTGTCAATCCAGGGGCGTATCGCCAGGGTTCAGTACCATCTTATAGAAACAATTTTGCACTAGAGTGACGCTTAGTATTTGTCTATTTTATAGTTTCAATTTGAAATATCTAAAAAAACGGAAGAAAAATGATACTTTCTTCGTAGAAAAAAGTAAATTTATTATATTATTATTTACAAAGTATATTTTTATCGGTAATTTCTAATACCACAGATTCAACAAGTTTTTTCATTAATAATTATTTTATTATAAAAATGAAATAGAACAAATCGAATGATCTATATTTTATTGTATAATACATTTTCTAGTTAATTTATGTGAAAGCATAACAACAGACAAAGTATTCCATAAAAATACTAAACACCCAATATAAATATTGAGCAATATAACTAAAAAATAAATTATTTCATTTATGAAGTGTCAAATCTCACGCAGAGTAGGTATATTCCCATTTTTTTTATTAAAAATAAACATGTAGTTTACACAGAAACATTTATTGAGTATGACATAGCGTTATAATATTATGGTACTTTAATTATAATTATTACAGTGTAAATTTCACTTATTGGTAAACATGATTATAATCATATATGCCTTTATTGAGAGCATTGTTCAACATGAATATCATAACTTGAGTGTGTTGATTGCGATTTAAAAATAATATATAAGATATTTATTGTAATTTGATATTGAATATTTTTTTTTAATGAACATTCAGTATGAACTGAGATATTTTATTGAAAATAATTAGAATCTATATAAAAATAAATAAATTCCAGTTTTTCTATAAATTCCCACTTAATGAAATTCCCATTGTCATCTATTAGTAGTTTTCTTTCCTCAAAAGCATTTCTTATTAATTTTATCATATGCCTTGGATCATAAAAAACATAAATGTTGTTACCATCTAAAGAAAAATGTGTTTTAATGAGTCATAAGAATTATTGGTTCCCAAAGTATTTGCCACTGCAATATTTGAAGGAGCACCATCAAATGTAAGCGATACAACTCGTGCTCCTGTAGCAGAAACTAATTGTATGCACTGTGAAACAAGTACACTTTTTTGATTTCCATTCAAATTATCTACAAGGAAATAGCCAACTGGCAGCTTCCAAGTTCCATTAATGTTAACAATTATCATAACAAATACCTGTTTATCCGAATATTCTACATTTTTCTTCAAAACATTAATTGCCTCACTAGAGTAACTGGTTCAGCATTAATGGTCTTAAACCATTTTCCTATAGTGCTTCTATGGGGTAAACAGGTTTCAAAAGCATTTCGTACATAATCATATCCTCTTGGGGAGAAAAAACACAAAGTAATTGCAAACTTTCACAGTTCTGTCTCCATACTGATGCTTTTTTCCCAACTTACGCTTTTGTAATTCTTTCGTAATTTCTGACATGTTTTCAAGCAGAACTGAGCTTTCACAAGATACCAAATTATTTTGTTTTAAGGCTTTCACTACTTGTTTGAGAGAAACAATATGTCTTTTCAGTCTTCTCACCCGCTGATTCAAAACTTTTATTTCTCTCGATTTCTCTTGGCTCTTTACCCTTTCTGCAAAAAGCTGTCTTCTAGGATGCTTCTTTCTGGGGGTGTCTGGATCTTCTTGGGGAGGATCATTTTTCCTAGATGTCGAAGCTGTAGGTGTAATAAGCTGTCTAGATCTTGGATGTGGTCTCTTTGTTACCTGCAATCAAATATATCTCAATTACATTAATAAGTCCTCAACTTAATTAGTATTTTCATTTTTATTTCAGATTATAGTAATTATTGGTAGAATTTCTCTGTAAACTGAGTAAATGAATAATTTGTTTTGTAAATTTCTTAATATGTTGGGTTAAGTGTTAAATTAGCTTAGTCTGTAGGTGTTTTGGAAGTTCTTCAAAGATTGTAGGGACTGCATCATCCAAAAGAGAGGTTCTGTTTCCAACTTTGTAAAATGCTTTCAACAGCCTATTTTTTGTGGGAAACCAGTCAGCTAGATGCATATTCTTCAGCCAGATACCATTTCTTGTTGGATCTTTAAGACGAAACCTGAAATACAATGACAACAATACTAAACTAACTTGATATTGAACATATTTGAAAATATAATAAATAAAAAAATATCACTCCCGCCACTGGCAAATGACCGCCATTCAATCATAATAGTGATATAAAATTGATAAATTCAAACAAATCCTGAATGAAACACATGGCTATAACTAGTTTAAATTATGCATTCAAGTGAAGAAGTAGTACTTATATCACTGAAATAATATTGTTGCAGTCGTTTAAAATGGAGTTATAAAGTAATTAAGGTATTTACGTTATCAACACAACTAAAAAATTTACCTGTGAAAGGTTATTCCTGGCACTTTATTCTCACTGCGATTTTTGCAATCAAAAGCCGAGCACAACACCATTCTTATTGAATAAAAAAGTCGCAGTCTTTAATACACAATAGCACAGAAACACAGAAAAAAAGGCTTCACTCTTTCATCTGCTACTTTGACGTTAAACATATGATTATTTAAGGGTATTTATCTTTCATGTTGCCTCAACTGCTACGTTGGCAATCCTGGCCGCGCATGCGCATGAAATGCTCATTTTCTTAAGTTAAGTTAGCTTAAATCGTGCATGAACCCACCTTAATGGTGGGTTAGACTCGTCAAGCTATTTTATTCCTTATTTGAACTTGTTATACTTACCTTTCTTGTTAAAAAAATGAATAGTTTTGACAATGTTATCCAAACAAAACACTAGCAACCGACTAGTCGACTACCACAGAGCAGTTGTTAATTTGACAGTTCAAATCGCTAGTAAGTTGCTGTTGGGTCGCTGTCAATGAGTTAGGGAATACCAATTTTTTGATACTCCTAACAAAAGAATGCACTTTTCCGTTCACCAGTTGCTCCATAGAGGCGCCACCGTAGCCGGTCGGCGATTGAGACGCACTGACTGATACATAATACGAAATTTGCGTTTGACAGCAACTATCGACCAACTTGAGTCGGTTCTGTTTATTTACATGCACTAACAAACTGAGAAATATTAACTCATTTTAAATAACAGTTTTAATAATAACGGTATAATCGACAACTATGTGAAATCTAAATCCGTGTACACAGAATCCTGTGTAGAAGCACTATCAACTGAAGATGGATTTTCGGCTGTGGAATTGTATTGTTCAAAATATTCACGTGCGTTTTTCTCGTGAGGATAATTCGCTGTAGCTTGAGTATAAATGTGGACATGTTTCTGTTAATACAGATTCCTGAAGGAGTCGCAGCTGGCTCTCTTGGCAATGACAAATTAATACGGTGAACATGTTCGAGGAATATAGTTGCCATATACAGAAGCGCTGGCTTATTACGTAAAAATTTCCAACTCTGATCGGTGAGCAACCGACCACCAACCGACTTGCGACCGATTGTCGACCGACCGAAAAATTCGTATTCGCTAACGCAGTTGGCAACCGGTTGCCCAACTGTCATTGAATGCAGTTTTTGCCACCGAAACACTGCCACTAGCAATCGAGTAGCAACCGGCCAACCGGTGGAACTAAAGTGACATACATATGATGATAAACAATCGTCGTGTTTATAAATCGAAAAATAATAATTAAATACATTGTGGATCGTGATTGTGAATTTAAAATTAACTATGGGACCTAGTTTTGTTGAAAATTGAACACGTAAGTATATAATACGATGGTCTGTTCTTAAAAATGAATGTCTGTGTGAGCCGCAGATGTATGGATGTTTACATAAGTCAAGAGTGGACTATTGATACACACAGTTTCACATAGATTAGCCTTGAAGTTCTTATCTCAAGACATAAAGAGCGATGCAAAATAACGCGAGGGTGAAAACAGCTTATTGACAAGTGCCAGATGTTTCTCTAAATCAATCAGCACTTGCTGGCACTTACCTATATAGTTCTAGATGACTGCTTGTTCATTAAAGGCTGCAAATGCATCAGAAAACGTGAACATAGTGTTTATTTGTGTTTGAGATTTTGTCTGACTAGGAGGTGTTTGTGTAACTTTTCAAAATGAAATATAATCTCAACATTGCAAATCGATGAGGTACTTGTCTTTGCAGAAATTCATCCTAATTTAGCTGAGGACAGTGTTGGGCTTGGAGGGAGATCAAAGAAGACAATTAATAGAAAGTGGGACGAATTAGCGATATGTCTGAATACTCATGGATCTGGAGCTACAAAAAATGGACAATGCTGGAGAAGGGTGAGTTTATGTTACATTTTGTTATTCATCCTTTTGTCATCACTAATTCATAATTTTTATAATTGTGCTGAATCTTATTTTTCATTATAAGATTACAACCTTTTGCTATGGTCATTATTCTGTTGTATCCCTCTTTTCATTAGATAAATTCAAAAAAGTTGTAGAGCTTTTCATAGAAGAAAAAATGCAACGTTGATTAATAGAAAATTATCTTTAACAGTGTAATAGCACAATTGTTCCCAAAGACTACCTTTTCACAATATTTTATCCAAAACTTTTTTTTATTTAAGTAACTTGAGAAACGATGACGTTTATCCATTTATTAATTCAATTCTTATTAGATGAGACTTTATATGAAACTCTTTTGTACTCTATGGGTAGAAAATAGTTTGTTTGATTCAATGTATTGGTATTTTTCCAAATAGTTGCTACCATCTTTTAATATTTGCCAACATAGTTTACACAGATTCCATGGGTCATTTTCTTGGATTAGTACTGTAGGTTAGAATAAGGCATTTTGTTCCATGTTCCATATGGTTTTATTCATGTACTAATACAATAATACTTTTTTACAGTATTGGATAGACCTTAAACATAGGATACAATCTAGAGCTGCACAATATAGGCAGGATGCTACAGGTACTGGTGGAGGATGCTAATGTTTATAACTTATCTGAATTAGATATGGCCATATTGGGAACAGCAACAGTATTTGGAGACACTGAACTTCAAATTCCATTTAGTGTAAGTACATAACTCCTGGATAAATTTAAATGGGATTAATTTTAATTAATGAAAAATCAGTTTATATTCTCTATCTCTATTGCCCACTTAGTTAAACCACATTTAATTTGATTTTACTTCCTGGCACTCCACATCATCTTCTAACACTCGATCACAAGTACAAAGTTCTGCTTCAAATGGAAAAAAATACAAATTTTTATTTTAATTTAGATAGAATGTCTGGATGATTTAATGCATCCACCATTTCCCTTAGTGCTTTGGATACACTAGGTTGATTGAGCCCATGTAAATAACCCATGCCAATATGTTTCTGGCAGGAACCAGCGGCTAGCACCAGAAGTGCTGCTAATACCTAAAACCAATATGTTTCTATACTGTGGTAGGAAGATGCAAGTAAGCTTATTTGATAATCATTATGAACTTCAAGTCATAGATACTGAAAAATACGTCGTAGGCGAGAAGTTTGCCGTCTTTGATCGTGCATTCTTTCGCTTTCCAATGCTTCCATAAGTGAAAATTTCTCGAGCCATCCAGAGAATCAAAATTGCTGAAAATACAAATTGGGAGCATACAATCACTTCTTAGACTCGTCAAGCTATTTTATTCCTTATTTGAACTTGTTATACTTACCTTTCTTGATAAAAAGATGAATAGTTTTGACAAATTTATCCAAACAAAACACTAGCAACCGACTAGTCGACTATCACAGAGCAGTTGTTAATTTGACAGTTCAAATCGCTAGTAAGTTGCTCTTGGGTCGCTGTCAATGAGTTAGGGAATACCAATTTTTTGATACTCCTAACAAAAGAATGCACTTTTCGTTCACCAGTTGCTCCATAGAGGCGCCACCGTAGCCGGTCGGCGATTGAGACGCGCCGACTGATATATAATACGAAATTTGCGTTTGACAGCAACTATCGACCAACTCGAGTCGGTTGACGGTCGGTTGGAAGTTAGGTAATAAGCCTGCGGGTCGCCCTTCACGGCCGCACTACGATAACGTCACGGTCACGGGGACGACTGCAAGCTCTCATTGAAATACATATATTACTAGAACCGTCACGGAACCGTTTATACGGAAACCGTGTGTGTGTGTGTGTGTGAAAAGGTACTTACATGCCGTGCGGCAGGGGTATCATGTAAAAAACGTATGAAACGTCAAAAAAACCTATCAGATGTCATCTTGTAAACTAGGTAGTTTTTAGGGCGCAAACAGTCATTCCACGTTTGCTCACTAGGATCGTTGTGAACGTCCATCTAAGGAGGAATCACTCAACTAAACTACACGCATTATTCGTTGCATATGTTTTGTAAGGCCAAATGGTCCTTGACTGTAGATTTTATCTGTGAGAAGAAAGTTGGTTGAATAGCAAGATCGCATCTGGATGATTATGTGTATCTATTGGTCTGCATGTGTATAAAATCAGTGATATTTGCTGTGTGAGAAAATCATTACTAAACATGCTGCCAATCTATTGGCTGTGCCCGATGGGTTATTTTTATGTTGTGCTTTCTGAAGAGAGGTTATGTTCAAAGATATAAATTACGAAAAACTGAGGAGAATTACGAAAACTGAGGAGAATTACGGGAAACCATCACCGCGCCCGCGTTGTGTGTAATTATTGTTAGCATATATGGCTTGTAATTCGACAGTGTACAGTGAATATAATTATTTCTTAACTCTCTCATTTTTTAAATTCATCAAATTTGTATATGTAATTTCCAGAATGGATAAGAAACAAGTGGATGCGGAACTAATTTCACGCTTTGAATCTCAATTAAATGTATTTGAGACAAGAACCCAATGTAATTAACACACAACTTACAGCTTAGACCTCCAGTAATGCCCTCTCAGAAGCAGATTTTACATCACATCAGAGCCAAATATTGATAACAAACCTCATGACGTTTAGGCAATACGTACAACTAAGTGCTAAGTCAACGTCTTGGCGAGAAACCTACATGTCAAAGAAAAAAACAGCATAACGTCAAAAAAAATCGGCATAATGTCACTTTTCAAGATACGTGATACCCGTGCCGGTTTGTCTACCTGGAGTTCACCGATCCCTCGAAATTAATTATGTGTCCTGTGGCGATATGGGTAATTTTGAAATATTACTAGATAACTAGCTGTCATTGTTCCATAATGGATACTCGTGAAATAGGGTGTAGTCATTCATGCAAAAATGTACTGATTTAGATACTTACCGCAACGTCATCATTAGGCGCTCCTCTGGCGATATCGGATTGCCGTCAGGTGCCTTCTCAAGGTACATCTTCACTAAGGTCAGGAGGTAATGCCAGCGCAGCTTTTCGTTTTTTTTGCTCTAGACATAGCCATCTTCAATTAATCGCACAAAAAAACAAGTCCAATACAGAAAAACACACCCGCTCGGGCATTATGCAAAAAACTACTATAGAACGTTTTTAGCGAGCAAACAGTCATTCCACGTTTGCTCACTAGAATCGTTGTGCGCGCCCAGCTATGGAGGAATAGCTCAACTACACGCATTGTTAGTTGCATACGTTTTTTGAAGCCGAGTAGTCTATAGTTTTCATTTCTGAGAAGAAAGTTGGTTGAATAGCAAGCTCGCATTTAGAAGATTGTGTGTATTGGTCTGCATTTGTATAAAATCAGTGATATTTGCTGTGTGAGAAAATAATTACAGACTCTGCTGCCAATTAAGTATATCTATTAGCTGTGCCCGACGGGTTGTTTATATTGGAGTGTTTTTCTGGGTTCTTTTGGGTGTGGATTAAAACACTCGATTTCACAAAAAGAAATGCACAAACACAACATAACTGACTTTAACTTAACTAGATAGAACATTTATGTACACCATTATTTATGTCTTACTACTTATTTACGAATTATTATGTAGCGCCATTCACTCAACTCTGCTTCCCTCTCCCGGCCATCGGCTTATATATTCCGCATCGCAAGTACTTGTTAATTGAAGGGTCGGTCGGAACAACGTTGTATGTGACAAAAAAGCTCAGTGGCCGAAATTAAGAAAAACAAATTTGAACCATTTTTTCAAATGACTGCGTCTATAGTTGGCCAGCACAATAAAGGAACAATAGTTATACAAGGTTATGGTAATTTAAAAATGTGACACTTATTTTGCAGCTAAGGGAACCATTTTTATGTAAAACGCATGTAACAAGGTTGTATGATCACGTTACTTACAACGTTGTTACAGGGAGGCTTTAAATGACTATAAGCAAAACAAGTATTTTCAGCAGTTCTATTTATTAAGGGAACCAAAGTACACAGTAACATATTTTTAATAACAAAAAAATACGTTCTAAGTTCATCAACGTGTTTCGAAACCAAAACTGAAACTTAAATAAATATTACTGGGTTGCAGTTAATTTCTCATAAAATGTTACATACTTAAGCGGAATATAATCACTCATATCCTCAAGGTTTTTTAATTTTTCATCTTTGATTGGAAGAAGGTTGTGATACATTATAGGTAATTTTTCAGATGATATGATATCAGTGGCAAAAGTCATTGTTTCTTTTCTTTTACGATTGCTTATGGGAAATGAATTCCAGGGCTGCATAATATTATGAGATTTTCTCATTCTCAAAGTAGCTGGAGAATCAGCGGTAAGTTGCAGCCACAATCTTTGTGTAATTTTACATTTGGAGTATTTCTATATACAATATTCCAAAACTGTTAAATTCTCAAAGAAGGCTTGGTGCATCCAGACAACTTTAAAAGGATTTTTAACTTTGGCTTTAGCAATGACATCGACCCACTGTGGAATGGTTCATAAACCATAGATATTCTTTTTTGTTTACGTACATACAACGTTGTTACGCGGAAGACTGAAATGGCGCGCTTTACAAATTCGCGTCACAGTGATTGATGCGAGTAAACAGGTGGGTCTATGTTGTCAACGGGTCCTATAGGCACATACTACGTTATTTTACGGAAATCTCATTTTATAGAAAAATGTTATATACAACGTTGTTCCGGTCGACCCTTCAATTCGAGAAGGTTCCGGTACTACAGTGTTGCCAGAGCCAACATTGAAAATTCCGCTACTGGTATCGAAAAACTCCGCTACTTTCCACTACCCCGGGGATTATCGTCGGGGTGGGGAGAGGGGTGGGTTGGGGCACTATCATAATCATAAAGCAGGGGGGCATTTATTATACATGTTGTGTCAAAAAAGGAAAACAAAAACCACACAGCGTGATAAAATATAACAAAAAACTGTAATAAAAAACATTTGACTATAAA